ACACTGGATAGCTTTGGTGCAGGTCAGTTGTTGTCCCCTTCTCAGAGAAGTGATGCCACTTCCTGGATAAGGAACACAGAAGATGTTTTAGCTCCTGGTGGCATTCTGCTAGGAAGGGGAGTGCAGCCATGGCAGAGCTCTGCAAAAAAAAAAGAAAAGGAGAAGTTGAGTAAGTGTGTGTGCCCTTGGAAACCTGTGCTGCACCATTTCTGTACATGCCTCCTGGAGGTGATGAAAACATGACTGTCAGCAGGGCTAGGAAGGTGTTTGGAGAGGTTCATGTATTGCTTTGGTTTGGAAGAAGAGTTGCCTAGAGCTGCTTTTTGCATCAGAAGTGAAATATTTGCTTGGTATTGTCTTAAGGCTGACTGACTTGTGTTAAGCACCTTCCAGCACTAGCTGGCTTCCCAGAAAAGTCACCATAGGCTCTCTCTGGGTCTGAATTTCTCTGCCACACCATAGGGTCAATACCAGTTACACATCAGTTTTCTGGATTACTTTTTTGGTTTGGGGCTGCTTTCGCTCCACGTTTTGTCCCATTTAGGAGCTTTATGCCTAGACACTCGGTTTTCCAATCTGTCTGCTGCTCCACTTGCCAGGAATCAGCACCTTTCCTACTTGTGCTCAGTCCTCTTCTGGTTTTCTCTTGGCTAAATGGTAGTGGGGAAGCTTTGGGTAGGAAAAGACTAATTTTTTCTGGAGGCCAGTTGTGTCATCCAGCTGCCTCTCTCCACTACCAGACAGTGCTGCTGCCTCTTACCTTGTCTTAGGGGTAGGTGACACTTATGGATCTGTGGGATTATTGTTCTTCCTGTGGTTGCTCATTGTGTACAAGGGACATTGCCAGGGTGTACAAGGGACCTTGCAGCAGTGGTCACACTGGGACCAGGTGGGCTCCAGTGTTTAGCAGATCAAGTGGTTCTTAATTTTCGATAAGATTTCCGGGACAGTTTCACCTTTCTGCTCTCTGTCCATCTGATTTGCATATGAGGCTCCAATTGTTCTTCTCCCTTGACCATGTGACTCTTCTCCATGAGATCTAGTGGGATCTGTAGCTGCGTATGCTGTGCTTAACACTGTTTTTGCAGCACTTCAATTCCCACTCAAGTTCTTAGACTGTTATAGTCCAAGTTGACCCTTGAGGCAAAAAAACCACCCTGCCTTTGGAATTGTTTATCTTTGTGGTTCCTTAGAGAAACTCCTCCAACTTTTCTTTCTACACTGGAAATGGCTAAAAAATGTATCTGAAGTCAGTTTTTTGTCATGTGCATTGACTGAGGTGTCTGTCAAAGGTGGAGAGCTGCATGTGAGGGAAAGTGCTAGGCTGCATGTGGGGAGCAGGGATTGTGGCTTTTGGGATTGATTCAGGAGGAAAAGGGCACGCAGGAGGAAAAAAATGTATCAAGCAGAAATGATGTGAAGTCAACACTCATTAACTTGGAAGGATCTTGAGGTGCTGGGGACCAAGCAGAAAGCTCAGTGCTTATAACCATGCTGATTAATAGTAACAAGTGCCACTTTGAATAAGAATTCTGCACTTGGGGAGTTGAAAGTAGAATTAAAGTTCAGCTTTGTGAGTTGGGAGAGGGAGGTTGTTTGCTGCGGTTCAAGCTGAGGCTGGCAGTTCAGTGTTTCTCAGCCACTGGGTTGCAATTCAAGGGAAAAGGGAGTATAGAGGGTTGTGATGCAGGGGGTGGTTTAAGAATTTAATGGTGGCATATCAGGTCTTCAAACTGGTTGGAAATGTGGCTGCTCCCCCTGCCCAGTACCTGTAGCTGTGTCACACGTGCCTGCTGTGGAAGCAAGAAGCTGGGGAGAGCTGGTTCCTGAGGCAGTGGTGGTTCCCAGAATGTGGCAAATGGGGCATGTTAGCTCTTGGCTCTGAAGGGTTTTAAGATGTTGAAGATACCAAACTCGAGGTAAACTCTGGTTTCTGGTTGATGGCTTTCATGCTAGTGTAGACAGGCTTGTGTGTACAACAAAAGGCACTAACTTAAAACAGTGTAGTCAAATGGTCTGGTGTGTAATTTATTGATTTTGTGTAAACTATCCTTTTAATATTTTCCCTGATTTGCCCTTGTGCCTGTGGGAATCTTCCATGCTCCTCCATGCGTCTTACTTCTTTTCCCCCATCAGGTCAGCAGGCGTGATGGGGGAAAGGTCATATTTGCTGAGACAACAGGCAATCCCAGTGAAACTTGTGTATTCTTGAAGGACTTGCCTAACTTAAGCAAAGGCACTGATCTGCAGCAGGGGGGGCATGTCAGGAATTGTAGCATAGCACATACTGGGCATTGATGTATCTGACAACCTAATTAAGTAGCGCCGAGTATGGCCAGTGACATTCCTTGATGTGACACTTTTCATTCAAATCTTCAGGTGGAGCAGTGGGTAGGTAACACCCTTCCTACTGCACCTTCCTAGATTGTGAGCCGTGAAGGGCAGGACTGTGAAGTGTCTATGTACACTATGGTGCTATCTGAAGTAAATGACATGCACAGTTCAAAAAAACACTTCTGGGTGTAACTATTTTAATATAAAATTGGCTGTTGCTTTTCAGAAAAGGCTGCAGAAAAATCGTTTGTGTTAGTCCGTGCTGGGTGAGCAGCAGGACCCAGTACCAGGCTCCCTGAAGCTTGCTATAAGCCACACATCACAAAAGCTCTGCAGGGGTCCTCTGGTTGTGGACTGGTAACTCCATCTGGGACTGGCAGCTGCTTCATTTTGCATTAAAGCAGCAAAGAGTCATCTAAAACTATTAGCCTTGATTTGTAAATAAGACTATATTTATCTAATAAACCATCTTCTTACCCCACTGACACTACTTGCCACCTGTCAGGATCATGCAGGTTATAGGATAAGCCTTTTAATCGCAGCTCCATGAAGCAGGTCATGCGTTCACTATGGATTCGTCCAATGAAAAGGCATTTTTGTGAAGCCCAAGTCCTGTCTTTTTAATTTTTCCACAGCTGAGGTGATTGAGGTATGATTCTCACTTAAATGGAAGGCACCTGCAAGTAAAATGATCAGAAAGGGTCCTGATCTGAGGTCCTGCTGGTGCAATACCTTCCCTTTTACTTCACTATAATTTTGTCTCTGACCTAGTTAAGATCTGCAGCAGCTGAGGTTCAGGGCTCTACCTGGCCAAACAAATGTGGAACATGCCCTTGCCCGCTGTGCTCTGTAAGAAATGATGCTCGTCAACTTTACAGTTGGCTCAAGAAAGTGAGAGTAATGCAGTAATATCCAAGAGCTTTTTATTAGTAATGCATAAACATGAAATTGCATTTCAGTACCACATAACATGAAAACAAGAAGACAATTCTGTTTCCTTTCTCTGTTAGAGCTGATGCCCCTGATGTACCTGAAGCCACACAGACAGTACATGCACAGTGACAGCACAGAAGCAGGAGAAGTTCAAAGGGGAAGGGTTTGTGCTTTGTTCATGTCCAAAAAGTGCATCTCCTGTTTGGGTTTTCCTTTATTAAAGAAGGGCTTTGGGGAGGGGGAACCAGCTTTAACAGAATAAAGCTCAAATACACTACTCACTATCTTTGTTTTGCTTTCTGATTCACAGGTAATGTAACCACCAGCCCCTTCAACAGAAACATGCTCATCTTAAATGTCTAAGCTGAAGCTGGGCCTTGGCTGTCTCTCTAGAGACCTGTGTCAGCTTAACTGGTGCTCATTTCCACTGAACTGTGGAAGCCAGCCTCCTGCAGAAGTTGCGTCAACTCATGCCCATGTCCTTTAATTCTAGATTTAGCAGCCTCTGAAATCCAGTTTAACAATCCCACATTGCAATGTCTCGCCTACAGCCTGTCCTGCAAAAGCCAAAGCATTGCTCGTTCCCACTGTTAAGCACTGATGTGACGGGTTAGAGAAATGCAGGGAGGACCTGAAGCTTTGTGGAAACGTTACAGCATGGGAGGCATGAAGAGTATGTTTTTTTTTTTCATACTGGATGCACTTTTTGTTTTAACTGAACATCAATAATGAAACAGGTCTTTTTCTGCTGTGAGCTGACAGTAGTAGCCTGGCACCTTGGAAGTCTATCTGCTTACAAATGTGTTTTTTAATTAGCTATAGTAAGGTCTATTCCAAAGGGTCTGTTCCAAAGGGCTTCCTCTAGAAATATTCTACAGAACCCATCTCAACAACCGGTTGTTACTTCAGGACAGAATACCTGTGTATCTGACACTCAGTTCAGCCAGGCACTGCCGCTGCAAAACAGTCCAACCAGAGAAGAAACTGGAAAGTTACTGAATTCTAGTTTAGTGCAAATAAACAAACTAAGCTACTGCTGTGTAAAATTGGCCATGTCTACTTGATACCTATTTAGCTCCATCTCCTGATAATGCCCCATGACATTTGCTGAGTGCAGATCTACCATGGTCAAATTCATTCACAAGTCTTTGCTTATGAAGTTTCAACTCTCTGGAATTCCTTTCACCTGGAAGGGGTGCTAATTGCTTTCAGGTAGTGAAAGCACAGCAGGACCCTTTCAGCTCTGACACTGAACACTCAGCCCTTCAGCAGCAGCTCTCAAAATTCTTTAAACAGTTGTAGCCACTCTGAAGTCCCTGTTTTTGCAGATGGGGACCTGGGGACATGGGTCATGGACAAGCTCATGGCTTGTGCTGGGTCAACTGAGGAACATGAGCGTCTCTGGGATTTTTCAACGTCAAAGTGTGGGCACAGGGAGGGCCAGAAACTGCCTCTGTTATGGGCTGCTGGAATTCATGGGTGCTGCTCAGCTCCCAGCAGGAGAGGACTGGGGTGCAGGATTCAGTGGAGCTGCCGTGAAAGAAGTGCTCATGAAAGGCCGCTCACCAGGAAGGGGTTTCTGTGTCTGTGTATCACGTCAGGCTGAGCCAATGCCCCTCTGTCATGGTTCTCCTACCTGGAAATTTCCTGTGAATAGTGATTTCAGGTACCCAAAAAAAAAAAAAAAAAGCTGAAACACAATAGTAAAAATCAGACAGAAACAACAGTAGAGGTTTTTATAGCTGGAATCATTATTCATAAACATTCTCAGATTGGCCTTAAGGTACACACATACAAAAGAGGAAATAAACCAGAGCAGCTCAAGTTATGAACATGGTAATAGTATAAAATTTTCTGATAACATGAACATAATCTATATGCTGTAGCACCAGTTGCAGCACCGTTCCCTCATGCCTGTGTGCTGTCACTGTTTCACAGATGAGACTGAGCTCGTAAGAAAGACATTCCTAAATGGTGTACAGAGCTGCTAGATGAGGTAAAGCATGAAGGTAGCAATCAGGAGCTTAAAGCTGGAGCTTCTAAATTAGTTTTAACCTATAGAGCATGCAGCCAGTAAGTATTAACCAGGGGATTGATGCTGAACTTGCCTGGGGAAAGAGGGAAGCTTGGGAGAGGACAATGTAATAGTTGTGATAAAAATGTCTCCACTTCTGGTTTAAAAACAAACCAATCCATCAAAAACTCTTCCAAAAGACTGCCACCATTTCTCTCCCAATGATGAGGGAGGGATGGAGATCTCCCAAAGCCTGTACCACATGCAGGCCAAGCACGCTGCCTCAGGTACAGCCTGCCAGTGTTGGAAGAAGCAGCACACTGGTAACAGAGGGATTTGGCTGGAAATGATGACTAGGAGCTAAATCACATCACTGGGGTTACACAAGCAGTTTTATTGCTATTCTAAGGGTACTTGACATGTTTCCATCCCTTCATGCAGCCCAGCCAGTGTTCAGCTGTTATGCAATCATTTTCATTAACAATTCTTTGCCAAAAGAAACATGACATTTTACAAAATTATAAAAGCGCGAAAAAGAGAGAGACAGAACCTTTAAATCAGCTTCCACGTGAATAATTAACACAGACAAAGGTTATAATGGAAAGGCATTTTATTTTCACCAGGTAACACTCCTCCATGTATAAAGGAAGTAATGGGGAAAGAGAAAAAAACACAACAACCTCCCAAAACACTACTGTCACCATGAACACTTGAAAGATCAGGTCTGAGAGCTGCAGCAAAGGCCTGCTCACGTCCTCCATCGCCTCCGTGAGGCAGAGCTGGTTTTGCATTCCCCACAACCAGGTTCACGTACAAAACAAGACTGATGCTGCCAGAGGCATTTTTAGCTCCTTGGGTCTCCTATGACGTATTTAAACAAACCTTGGGCATACTAATAAAGCTAAAAAAATGAAAATAATTTAAAAATTCATGGAAGGGAGCTCACTGTGCTAGTTCTGCATTCGTTTCAGCAGTGATTCACTCCAGGATGCCTCTTGAGTGCAAACTGCATTAGGGGGCTGAAAGCATCAACTCTAATAAAAGATAACAGCCAACACACATATAAATAAGACTCGTTTCCTTTTTTAAAACAACATAGGAAAGTCAATTCCCACTGCATGATTGATGGAGATTTCCTAAATATTAATAAATATATTACAGATATTTACAAGCTTCTGTTTTCATCCTCTGATGCTACTGTGAAGTTCAGACCGTAAGTAGGACATGCTGGGCAGCACCGCGGGGTGTGCAGGCAAATGGCTGCAGTAGATTTGGGATGCTCGCGCAAGCAGCGAGATGGAAAGCTAAAAATAGCCCACTCCGCAGAGCCAGGCAACCAGGGAGCTGAGCTCCTTCAGGCTTTGTGTGACAAACCAACCCCCCGCTTTTCCTTTTGCGGAATGAAATGCCGGGATAATGCGGGCAATTGTGCCAGGGAGGAAGGGATGGGAGGCAAGGGGAGAGGCAGCCCTCCACACCATGTTTTCTGGAGTCTGCCACAGAGTCTGTCAGCAGCCTGGAGGGTTTTTTCCAGGGAAAAAGGGAGGTTATCCAGGCATGGCAGCGCTGTGTGAGCAACAGGGAGCAGTTTGTACAACCACTGCGTTGTGGTTCAGTGTCTGTGCCCTGCCCAGCATAGCTGAGCCCAGCCTGAGCCAAGGACTGCTGGGCAGCCCGGAAAGGCACAATTGCAAGGCTCTGCTGCTGCCCCAGAGCCACCCCTGAACACTGCCAAGGTGGAGGGGGGCACAGGCATGAAGGACTCATTTCCCTTTGCACACTCAGGATTTACTTAGTCCTTCATCTTGCCTGCTCTACAACATCCTAAATTCCTCTCAAAGAGGAAGATAAACATGCTGGATACTCTGCACCTCAGTGGCTTGAGGACAGCAGAGAAGAGGACTGTGAGCAGAGGTCTGAGTGACGGTGGCCAGAGGATTTCCATGAGAAAATTATGACAACAACAACAGCGTAGATGCAAAGGGAGATTTCCTGCATTTCTTTCAGTCTAGTTTCCCTGATGCACTGTGCAGCCAACACACTGCCTGGTTTTGGCACAGAAACAAGAAAAAGTGCTGATGTGACTGAAGACAGGAGACCCTTCAAGCAACAGCAGAACCTTTCCCATCAGCCCGTCTCTGCTGCTCACTTTCTGCAATCCTACATACTTATCTCATGCCAGTACTTTAGGTGCTTTAACATGCAAGACATTTTTCCAGAGGTATCCCGAGGAGAGGGCCATGACACCTGACTTTACATGGGACAGCTATGAGGGAGAGTTAGCACTGAGCCCTGCTTTTCCTGTTTGCATTGGTTCAGAAAAAATTAGAAACTATTCCAATAAGCCCTACATATGCAAAAATTCTCATTTTCCAAGGGGGTGTTTAACGAAAAATAGGGATGGAAGAGTCCCTGGGAAGGTTTACAGAGCATGTGCTTTTCAAATCAGCTTAGAAGAGATGACATGGCCGGCTGCTCCTAAGGCTGCAATGGGACACGCACAGAGACTCCGAAGGGGAAGCCTTGCTCCCCTGGGCAGCAGGAGGCTCCCGCAGTGAGGCAGCAGCCCAGCTACCACACTGGAGCCGACCAGCCTTGGTGCCTCCCAACCTCAGCACTGTGCCTTGCCAGGGCTGGAGGGGCAGTCTGCCTCTTGGGCTTTGTGGACAGGGGAATCTGTTTTGATCAATATATTTTTAAAATCATGTTATAGAAATATAGTCCCAGCTACTTTGGAGCAGTTCTGAGGTATCTCTCATTAATCTGAAGTATAGAAATGTTAATAAATAGATCTGACACTTTGCTGCTATGTCATTCTATAATACACTGCTATATAGATATTAAATATGTCCCAGGGTATTAAAAATTTATGAAAAAGTTACAGTAGTTGATTTTCAAGTATCAATAACTTGGCTATGTTAGCTTGTTTTAAATACCAAAAAGCTCTGGCCCCAAATTATTGACTAAACCCTGGCTATGCATGAATTAAAAAAAAAAAAAGTAATTTGAATATAAAAAAAAGTACAAAAAAGCACGAGATGTCAGCTGATGTAACATTGTTGGAACTTCTAAACAACTAGTCTAGCACGGTTCTGTGAGTGAATTAGAAAGGGGAAAAGAATGAAAAAGAAAAGATTAAAGGAAAAAAGAGGTCGCTCCCAATCTGAGACAGCACTGTCCCAAATTTCAGCAGAACATGAATTTTTACAGCCAAGTTATAAACCCCAGAAAAAATGGGGTTACTAGTGGATATGCTGTCAGACAGAACTATAGCAGTATCCGTGTGCTCCATTATAATACAAATTTACACCTTACTCACTGTTTTCTCTGAGTAACCACAAGAACAACTTTACAGGTATTCAGTTAAAATTAGAAGCCTCCCTTATTTCCTGTCCTCCTCATAAACTGTACAACTCTCTCTACTACTAAAATTCACTGCTACTAGTAGTCATTATCATACATTCAAGATAGAAAGTAAACTACTAAAACCTGCTCAGGAGACACTTAGAAGTACACTAAGGCTTAAAAAGTTACAGCAGCTCGGGGGTATGGCCAACCACACGGGTGAAGAGCTTTGTCGCCTGCTTTGCCCCAGGACACAGACACTGTAGAGCCCTGTGCTGAACCCTGATCTCAGAGCAACTGAAACGGTTCCAAGGAAGATGGTTTTACCCAGAGCCGCTCACACTCGGTGTCTGGTGTGCGATACAACCCTCTGCTGTTTCAGCTAGGACGTGAGCACAACGAGGGTGGTAGCGCCCGTATGACTTACTGTTTGCTACTGTGCTAACACTGACACTTGGTTAGGTTTGGTTCCCCACTGAACACACGTTTTCATCTCGTCTCCTGAAAAATGATTCAAAGCATGGTTAAAAAAAGACTGAAAGCAAGAAAAGGCTTTCTAGTTTCGACGCACACGTACAAAAGAGGCAACAATTTCAAACTATTGATTTTCTTCCAGTGCGAGCAGCTGACCCATTGCATCATTCTGCACAGATCTAAACACAGCGTCCTGTGTCTCCGGGAACCGCTGGAGTAGGAAATCCTGTGACCTAATGCAAATCCAAGCCAGCCGAGTGAAACGAAGCAAGGGAATTGATAATCTGTTTTCAGTGACCTTGCCCATGGATGATGACCTCATGAAGACAAAAGCAAAGAAAAAGGCACACGGCTCAGATCTCATTGATAGTCCTTTCGGAAGGGCAGTAGTCGGAGGTTCCCGGGGATGACATGTAGAAGGACTGCGTTTTCCTTTTTAATCTGGCTCGCTTGTTGGCCAGAGATAGGCTGCGCCGGCTTGAACTGATGATTTCTGAAATAAACTTCTTGCAGTCCACGCAAACCTCCATTGTGCTCCAGTCCTCCATTAATTCTTTGGGAAACTCTTCATGTGACTTATCCACAGACTTGGACCTTGAGGTCAACCTGAAAGGCAAAAGAGCAGCATCTGTCATTTTATTCATTTTAGCACATCAGAAAGGTCTGGATTTAAATTTTCCTTTCTTCTGTCCCAAAAATGACACCAGGAGACCAAATACTGGAGAGGACAGCTTCTGCCTGAATTGGCAACACTGCAGGGCATGTGTACTGTTTACAGTCTGTCAAAACCAACTTTACTAATAACTAAAAACACATGATGTTTTTGGCTAATCTACACAGCATCTTAGCAGTAGTGATTAATGCAGAGGGTTTGTCCATTAGGTTCCCTCAAAAAGAAGCATTTCTTTCATATTTAATTTCTTGGATTAGCTTTGACAACCATCTGTGTATAAGACATAAAACCAACAGATAATTTGATAATATCAAAGTGAAAAAAATTGTGAAAATTTGAATTAGAAAAATTAGAAAAAACGTAAATCTGTGCACAAGACATCAGTGAATTCCCATTCAGTGTGTGATTCTAGCCTGAGAGATTTATCTCCTTCACACCACACGTTAAGGATATTTTTGCAGAGGTACTACAGAAATACAGTTGTCCCAGACTCATAATATTTTTCAACTGTAACGTGAAAAACGTTTAAGAAGACACTGTTAGTGTTGCTATTTCTGTAAATTAAAGCAAGAAGTAGAAGACACCTGGCTTTTCAGGCTTCAGAAGAGTTACTACAAGCATTAGAGACATTGACAACTACCAAACAGGTAGACAGCATCTTAACGATTGATAACCTCGTACGGAATTCGCAACAGACACAAGTGAGCTCGGGTTGTTTCTCACCTGCTCCGCAGCGAATGGTGGTGACTGGTAGAGGGCTTCTCTGGCCTCATAAAGCTTTCTCCTCTTTGCAAGGTTGAAGGTCCCAGTGAGAAGATGGGGAGAGTAGAGTATGGCTTTGATGGCAACCGCATCTGTTGAGAACAGCAGAAGGAACATGCGGCATCATTACAAAGATTGCAGCTTTTTAGAAAGGCTCTAACCGCAAGTTCACTTACTTACTTTTTTGCAACACTGTGAGCATACAGGCCTGTGTAAGAAAGAAAGAGCATGAGTCAATCCACTAGGAAAAATAGAGATAAGAGATAAATGTTTTCAGGAGTTAAAATCCTCCCCCATCCTCCCCTTAAACAAACATTTTCATTTTTAAGGCTTCTTCGACATAATAACTTCAAATCAGAACATGAGGCCAAAAGAAGGAAGAAACACTAAACAGGAAATACAGCTAAATTAAAAAATAAATTTAAAAAAAAAGAAAATAAGCTGTTTTTCCTCTAAAGAAACCTCCTTTGGTAAGTGAGACACTAACTCAGTGGCTACATAGATCTCCTGACTTATTGTCTCACTGTTCAACTAAAAATCTACAATTTTGTCTGCAAATGATTCCTTCTCCCTTTCCCCCATCCCAATACTTAAAAAAATAACTCAGAAGGTAAATTGCCTTGAAATGTTTTCCCCAACAACAGAGGCTGTGGAACTGTTGACTGGGGAGTCTGAGTAAATTCCAACTTCTTTCCCATAAGCATAAAAAACAAATGAGTGTTTCCCTCACTTTCAGTCAAAAGTTTCAGTCCAAGGAAGCAATTCTGTCACTTAGGAAAGAAATATTTTTTGCACAGTTTTGGATTTTTTTAACATAGACTGTTACAGAAATTAACCCAATCAACAGTAGACAGCAGAAATTTTTGAGGGTTTCTAATGCATAAACCAATAATTTTCCCTCTGAAATGGTACCTATTTATTAACACATATTAAATATTTACCTCTTACAGAACTGACAAGTGTAAGACCAGGTAAAGAAAGAAAACCTTCTTGTTCGACAGCAAAAGCAGAGCTAAAAGAAGAACAGAGGAATCCACAATGTTAGGCGAAGTCACACACAGTGATGACTTCATGTACCAGTTGCTGTCAGCAAGATCACAGTTGTACTACTACATCCAGTTCTGGGGTTCATACTTCTAAGATGATATTGAAAAGAAGGTCCAGAATTTTATTTTCATATATTTATGAATGGGTAAATTAATTAAACCATCAACTTACTTTGAGATTTGATAAAAGCTCATTACTAAGCTTTATATATCATGACAATAGGCAACAGCTGAATCTAAGATTCTTGTTCCTCTGCCTTGAATGTATTAAATTTTTAAAAGAAATCTGCATACTAGAGACAGGTAGGCCTGTAGGTAAAATACACAGTGAAGTCAAAATACACTTGCTGGAGGTGTTAAAGAAGCACAAGTCAAAAGTGGGGGAAAAGGGCGCTGCTTCCACTGGTAAGTACCAATTTGCAGTTTACAGAAAAAAATGCCTTAGTGAATAGGTCTCTAATATTAAACTTCCTTCTGGGGGTCACATGTTGTCTGACTTCTCTGAAGACTTTTATTTCCTCTATGCTTAATAGCAAGGATTCATATATGAAGAACTTGCAGTTTCCTACTGCTATCTGTAACCAATCCCGCAGAAGGTATGGGGACAGAAATCACTTCAGTCAATGAAGTTTTAAATGAACACATACAGATACACTGTGATAATTGCAAATGCTACTGCATTTTATAGACAATCTAAACAAACAAAGTATTTCCATGAAAAGTTTTCATGTTTCTGCACATACTTCAAGGCAGCTGACCCATGTGTTATATATTTAGGGGGAGTTTGGATAACTCTTCTTTCTCTCCAATACAGGATAAGAAACAAATGTGTAAATGGGAAGCTTGTGCAACTGCAACTGTGCTCCTCAGTAACCTTTGGAGCCTCCACAGACTCAGCCCTACCTTTCCTTTCTTGAGAGCAGTGTAGACATCTTTATATTGCTGGTACTTTTCCAGCTCTGCCTTCACCAGCACCTGACGGATGTGCATGACCTCCTCCACTGTCAGAGCCAGACATTCCACTGGGTAACAGAACTCCTCCTGGAAGCCAAAAACCCCATATTATTTCAAAGACAAACAGCTTCTTCCAGACGCCAACCTAGACAACCAGCCACCTGGTTAGTAACTCCAGAAACAGGGGGTTTCTCCCTTCAAACTGGAATAGCACTGGCTCTTTCACGGGCATCATGTGACTACCAAACCATTGGAAGTGCGTAGGTGGCATTACGTTCAACCTTCACAACAATGACAGTTTGCTTAATCTTTCCTCCTCAAACCACTTGATCCTTCTCTCCATTTGTCTTTTATTACAAAGATTTGCTTCCAACCAATCAACAATCAGATTTATAATTTGAAAGGGAAAAGGTAGTATGACAGATGGCATTATTTTATGCATATTGTTTGAAGTAAACATAAAATAATTTCTCTGAGACTTTGTGATGCCCGGAATGGCCAAGAAAAGTTGTTAGTAGCCCATTCTAGCAGAAATTTTTATTCAGTGGTACCACATCTTGGTGCTCACATTATCAGAATTCCACCAAGACTACAAAAAGTTACATCAGTTCCGGCAGAAAAGTTCTCCTCTCAGGCCCAGGAAAGTGACAGCAGCAATTTAAGCTTAAGAAAATATTCTTCCAATATCAAGCAGGTGAACTGGTTATCCAATGTTGCATTATTAATGGCAGAAACTCAAATAGAGACTAACAACACAACCTTCCACTTACAAAATTTTGCATTTATTCTGTATTAGAGCATTTAGGAGAATATTGAGTGGAGAACTCCTGAATTTGGTACCAGGGAATAAAAAGCACCAACCCAATTTGTAATCCAGCCCAGTAGTTGATTATACATTTCCAAGAGAAAGACAGAAACCTCTGTGGGAACTCCCATTGCTTTATGCTTAGTGAACCTTTTCAAGTCAGCCCAGAGGGGCTACTGTGTGGTAATGACAATGACATGCAATGCTCTCTGAATAAATGAAGGAAATTTCTCTTGTAAATACAAAGACATGGCTGACAGTTTGGAGATCTCGTTTACAAATTGAAGTGATGAATCGGATTAGTACGGAAATGCTCCATTTCCATGTACTCAGAGGTCTGTTCTGTCTTTCCATCAGATTAAAAAGAAAATCTTTCTACGTTGCAGACCTGGCAAACATTAGCATTTAGGAACCACCACATTTTTAAAAACTTGTTGTCTTACCCATCTAGAAAGGGAACACAAAGAAACTTCACTCTGTTTAAGGTACCCCAAGAAAGACTAGAATTGAGTTAACTTTGTTAGATTTGCCATCTAAAACTTTGGGGGGTATGGAACACTAGTTTTCTGGAAAGAACAAACTATGTCAAAAGCAGTTGCAATTTGCTCTGAGGTGTAAAACTGCCCAGCCAAAACAAAGTAACTTCTGTTCCTCATGAAGGACTTTACAGCTAACTAGCAGCTTTCAGCATTTAGTTCTGGGTTCTTCCCATAGCAACTGTCTTGCTATGGAGAAGGCACGGCTGAAGGCTGGGGCGAGACGGGAGAGGAAGTGGGTGGGAAAGTGGGATGCATACAATGCCAGCAAACCCCCTCGATTCTATATCGTGGGAGACTGGGAAAAACTATCCGAGGTGAATGAGGCTGACTGCATGCTTGTAATCAATCAGAGCTTTAAGTCCTTTAGAAATACATTTCTTACTTGAAGCTCTTCCTATCCCCTCATGAAAGCCCATTCCTTTACTTTACAGAACGATGACGGCAGGGAATATTGCTCCTTTGAAGAAAGTCTGTGGATCTGCTATAGGTGTAGAGCACGTACTAGGGGAATAGTGTGGGCCTGTTGTCGTACCAATCGAAAATGAATATCATTAAAATAGGAATAGCCAGCAGGCGAGAGGGGAAACATAGAAAATGTTCACATGTTTAAATGCTAATGTTTTAATTCCAGAGGTTACACAAGGACAACAAAATGTTAATGCAACATTAAATGAAAGATAAATACTCTGCCGATTTCAGAAAACTGCTTGGGTTTTTTTGTCCCTTTTCAGAATAGAAATAAGTACACCAGAAAATTTTTTGTTTCTACACTACCTCTAAGGCATTGAAATTAATTAAAATTATGCTAAGCACTGGCTAAACTTCATTGAACAATGATGCTTTGGAGTTATTGCTCAAACTTCCAACAATAATATGCACTCAAATTAGGCAGGTCCAAATGAGAGCACTCTCTACAATACTTGCATACAACAGAACACAGTAAAGACAAAATATGGTTTGAATGGTCTCAATTTTCTGGAATAAAATTCCATTTTCATTTTACTATTAAAGACAAGTCCATATGCTTACTTTAAAAGGGGAAAAAATATTACTTAAAAATACTGTTTTGAACTTGAAGTTTCCGTGATCGTCTTGAGAACTGGCTTAACACTAACTGCGCAATCACCTTAGAAACACTGTAATAGTTTAAGGTGTATATGTGTAATTTCTTTTGCTCTGGAAAAGCAGGTAGTAAGGATTGCATATCCGTAATATGACATAAAGTGCTTTGTAGGCCATTCTCAGCATACACACACCTAATAGGTCCTTATGACTAACACATTTTTACTCTAATGTATTCCTTGTAAAACTTCTCACTAAAAGATGTCACTAGACATTCAAATGAGCAGCATATTATTAAATTGCAAAATGAACAAGTGTCAGATTTGCCTCTAAATTCTGCAATTCACAATTAGTCAAGCACTCTAAACTCTTGTTCCTTTTGCAGACTAAAAGTTTCTAGAAGGTCAGTTGGGTATCTCAACAATAAACTCTCCTGCAAGAAGTTTCACCCTTCCACTTAGTGGCTGGGACAAGAAAAAGAAGGAAAAATTAAATTATTCATGTTCAATTCTACCTCGGGGTAAGGAAAAATTAAATTACTCATGTTCAGTTCTACATAGGGGTAAATGAATTAGTTTTCAGTGGATTTGCCTTCTCTGGTACATGACTCTGAATTATTCTGCAAGTTCTGATACGTAAGTGTGCTGAGGACCAAAACAATATGTAGGTGTTTTCAAGTAAAGCAGATTGCAAATGCCCTTCCATTCTATATAGTGTATCTTGGTAGAAACATAAAACCTAATTCTTTTCAGCATAGTCCATGGATTACAATAGTTTTACTCGATTTTTGCTGTAGGATCTTCACATGCTGTAATATCTAAGGTCTGTCCCACTGATAATCTTGTGATGTTGCATTTTTAGTTTGCTGTCCTTTCAGAACTGATTTCTTTTCCCCGTGAGGTGATTGAAGACACACAGATATCCTACACACATTTAAATCAATGTCAATCAAGTGCAGTGTCCCAGCCTGAGCTGTAATTCTTGCCACAGCTGAGGAAGTGCTCCCCTAGCAGGGAACATGCTGGTGAAGGTGATTTCCAAAGCCAGCAAAAAGAGGCAAACCTTTGCGGATTTCCACCTGCTGGCAAAAGCTCTCTCACAGAGATAGTACATAGCCCCTGCCACCCCACACATGGCTGCTTCAACCGGATGAGAGCTGAGCAGAGAAGCTGCTTGCATAGTTGAAAAAAGTGGTCTGAAAGTCATCCTTGGAAATAAACTGGTTATCCTAGGAACCTGAACAATAGATAGGAAGCAGAGAAGCGAATGCTGTGTATAAATGAAACCATTAGCTTTGGTCCTCTGGGTCATGTAAAAAAATAATGATGATAATAATAATTAAAAAAGCAAACAGACTACAAAGGCATCCATATGTACATCTCTGGACACTGACTTCATCTCACTGATTAAGCTCCAAGTCAGCTCACTACAGTAAGCACACCACCAGGACTGCCCCCCCAAAATCACTGAGCCACTCTGCTTTTCCATGTAGCACTGATAGGGTGACACATCAAAAGGACTATGTTTGGCGCTTTTCCAAGCTTGTTTCCCCTCCCCACCTACTTAGGCCTAACTGCCTCTATCTGATGAGATGCCAGTTCACAAAACCATCGTTAGTATGCAAGACAGACCAGTTTCTTGCTAATCCTGCTAAGAGACTGTAGCAACCCCCTGACTGGTTTCACTGGCATCGAGGGCTATTTATTGACGAGGCCTCCTTCACCTTGGAGAGAAACCGAGGTCACAGGAGCTGGTGATAAGAAATGAAATTCCATCAATCCTGAAGGAAGGGATCAAGAAGTGTGATGTCAAATAAAAAATAAATAGTATTCTGCACTCATTGAGAAGCATTCACTCCTGGAAGGGCAATTTTACACATGCAACATCTGGCACAGCCACTGGAAGGTTGGCATCCCTCCGGGGAAGGAGAGAGTTGCAGAAAGCTGAAGCTTTCTGGAACTGGGCCAGTGCCAGCATATCAGAACTCATCTATCAAAAAGAAAAACAAGAGTATTGTGGGAGTTGTCTGTCACACCCTAGAGGGCACTATCGTCAAGCTAAAGAATTAGGTCTCTAGGCATCAAATAAAATAGGTTCTTACTAATGGAACATCATTTCACTACTATCTTTCCTTCTTTCTCACTTCAAAGCTAAAACCAAGCTAGGTGACAGTTCTCTGAAGATTTTAAAAAAAAAAAATCCAACTAAAAAAATGACCAAAACAAACAAACAAAACCCCCCCCCAAACACAAAAGAAACTAATAAAACCCTTCCCCCATCTGTTCCCACATTAGCCTGACTTATCTCATGGCTTTTTCTCCCTTTTCCTTTAGTATTTTTCAAGGGGAATGGAATAACTCAATTAGATTTTCTGCAATGGTTTTATTTTGTATGTATTTTTCTAGGCATATGTCAGTGAACAGACTGACAGAGTATGCACATGGTCAGAAAGATCCTGGTGAGGAGTTGGTTGACCTATTTAAAATACCAGTCTCATCTGAGATTTTTAAGTTGGATGATCCTCTCAAATACACAAGATTAATATTACGATGTAACATAGATACACTAAAAGTAGGATGGAGCAAATGTCTCAGTATAGCATATAATGCTTTCTGAACCCCTCCTCTCTTTAAACTACTTGTCTGTGAGTAACTCTAGGCCTACCAGAAAATAAAGCTTGGGTTTCCACATATAGTGAGTGGCCAGCAGGAAAGCCATTTTATGTGATAGTGTTTTCAAAGGCATGTTTGAAGGAGCCCTCCAGCTTGATTCTGCTGCAATATGTTCTGCTCCAAGTTCACTTTGGCAGAAGATGTCTACTTGTGTTGTGCATTTATCAACATGTTACTACCTGACCTTCAGCAGGAATGAGGAACTACATTCTACCTGGAAGGATGTAATCAAATCCAGCAGACTCTCTGAAAAGGGAAAGGACTTCATGGGAATATTTGGAGATATTTTTCTTGTTACTGATCAGCTTCATCATGTAATAGGTTTGGATCCTGGCCATCATCTCTTGGGCCAACAAAAATGCTCTTCAAAGCCCGTTAATACCACTGCACTACAAGACTGGGCAAGTGAATATTACCTTCCTTTCAAAACTAGGATGTGTTTATCAATTTTCCTATTCACCAGCACCTCATGGGGCATACTTTGAAACCCTGCTGGTAGGAAAAGAGACAAGGAACATATCCTACATGAAATCACAAAGCACTAATCAGTATGTCAGCATAAATGAACCAGGATTTCATACCCTTTGCTGTTTGTACTCTGTTGGAAAACAGTTCTCAATTAAAGCTAATTGATCAAATGCACTGTACTTTCTTTTCAAGCACAGGTTTTTGCCTCAGTAACTTCAACAAAGCAACACAGACAAACCTTGATTTGGACTACTGAAAGAGTTTTCATATATATAAACATTACCATGCAAATTCTTCAGGTGGGAAGAAAAGAAACCATTCCATTCATTCAGTCATTAACAGCAATACTTCCAACAACTAAAAAAATTCTCCCAAATCCCAAAATACATCCACTGCTTTTGAATTGTCACTATTCAAGTGGAAAATCAGTAAGGTGAAGTTCATTTGTTTTGGTAACATTCTGAAACAAAATCAAGACACGTGGCTTTACCCGGAGTCCTAATCAAAGTGCAAATGTTTTCTGAGGCACCTGTACCTGGGTTTTTGGATAAATATGCTAGAGAGACAAAGTTCAAATCTTGATTTCAAAATGTCTTTAGAAGCCAAGGGCTGTTTCTGAATTGAATTTTCTTTGAGTCAAGCTCTAATCACACTGAAGCCACGTTTTAATTTTCATTATACTCTTAGCATGCCTCTTTTTCTCTCTCCTACCACCCCCTCCACTTACAAGTGACCTGGAGCTCTGTTTTGAAGGGGGTAGGAACTGTCTCACATTGGTTGGTGTTTCCTTTTCAATGGAGTGTCGTCTCTGAGGTGGTTGCCGTCTCTCAGGCTGTGGTGTAGACGATATGGGCAAGAACTTCGGAGGCACTAAGGATTCAAAAAGCATAAAAAAGTTAGTTCTTGTAAGGGAGACTGTTTGTTAACATTGCTCAGTATTAATCCAGCCACTGATTTGCTAGAATTCCTACTACTGGTAGCTGAAGTTACACATCCATACTCAGAGCTCATACTCAGAGACAGGTATCCCATTCATCACATCTTCCAGACTGAGAGAATAGGAATACTCACAAAACTAGCAAATAAGACACACTACTGTCCAGTTCCCATGGTGTTTCAGGATATTGGCTTATTCTGCTTATTTCACCATCATGCACAGAAAATACATGCACAGATTGCAGGTTTCGTTACAAAACCTTTCCAGTGAAACTGAAACACTTTGAAACAAATGAAAAATACTGTTACACAGTAAAGGCTACAGTAACTTTCTTTGAAAGAAAAAAAGACCGGATGTTCTCCTTTGGTCTGTAAATAGTAATACCCGTGATTGCTGTATGTCTTTCAAACAAGTACATTCACTGCCATGGTGACAGACAGGCAAGAAACTTCTGAATTTGCCCCAGGTTAGAACATGTTTTTGCAGCAACAAATTATTTTATGAGATGAGCAGAGCGAACCTATCCCTCCATTCACTTCTGACTACTGTTTTACATGGAGTATGAAACCTTCTCCTTCACAAAGAGGTCCGCACATAGTGGGGAGTAATGGCTTCCAATTGTTTATCACATTTGACCCATTCAGCACGTTCTAGGGTTCAGCTTCAGAGGATTATTCCATTAAAAACGCTCAGCTTTAGCCTTCTATAAAAGTTTCAGATGAAGTTCACAGCACAGAAGACAACAGAAGTGTGTAAAAGCAGCCACTGGGCTCTCTCACAATAACTTACTCTTCCTGCTGCTGGTGCCTTCTTGAGAGGGGTCTTCCACTTGTGAGGGGGAGATGCTGCTGCTACTTCCTGACTTGTGCACTGATTCCTCCTGTTTGGTAAGAGGAAAAGAAACAGAATTCCTCAGGGACTGTTTTTAGTTCTTTTACTACTTCTTAGTACACAGAAACTGTAAGCTATCACAGATATTTTGCACCATTCAATCACTCAAAGCCCTAGAAGTCCTGAGAAAAACATTGACTGTACAGTACTGAGCAAATGGAAACTTTATTTCTTGCACTAACAAGGAATCAGCATTCAGATTTCTCTAGTCACCAAAGGAATGAGAGCCACTCACATAAGTGACTCAGGTAAAGAGAAACTAATCTGATTTGCACTGCACTGTTTCTCTAATTCCCAATCCTGGTGCATTTCTCCTTTCTTCTGTATTTAAAAGAAATCTCATTCACTATACAAGCGTGTTTCTTCACAACAGCCAAATGCAACTCCTGCAAGATGAAGGAAAGTGAAATGGGCTTTGACTAACAACTTTCAACTAGCTAAAGCATTATGCCACCCAAATTATTAAATCCTTTGCTTTCACCTAAAAACTCTGTCTTCAGTTGCCAGAGTGAAAGTAAAGATACAGATCATCACAGGAGCCTCCCAAAGAAACAGCATTGAAGGACCAAGTGTGAATGCTCTTTAGCTCCAATGTGAATGCCTTCAACCAATGATGTAAGTTGTCAAGATATACAGATCAAACATGTGACCTGCTCTAAAATCCAGCAGGTGGCCGAACCTCTCTCTCACAGATTTCCTCAGTTAAGTGAGCTGAAAGCAGGAAAACCTCCACTGGCTGAAAGATTGCCTTCTTTGGCAACAGCCAGTCAGACAGAAAAGCTGGCAGGATCACCTCAATGAGCACCATGCATCACAGGACAGAGGCCTCTACAAGTTCCCAGGTATTCCTGGTTTGTCATTTCAAATTACTACTTCTGTGCACAAACATGTGCACTGAAAATGCTATTATTGCCCTACAATTTCTCAAACATAGAAAGCTTTGTTGAGAATGAAATCTTGTGTAGGAAGTACTTATGAATCATTGTATTTACTTCTTCATATCTACAAAGTAACTGTTGACTATTATGGTAGACTATCTGATATTTTACATTTGAGGTTGGACCAACAAAACATCCAATACTGTGCACTTCTTCATAGAGTGCAAAACAATTAGAATTTTACAGGTACTAAAAAAGCTACAGCTTTAAAGGCATCACCCTAAAACATGTAACTATGTTACAGACATGATTTTTGTCCAGATAGATGTAGCTTCATTAGGAAGATATAATTTTTATATCTGTTTCAAAAAATCACTATTAGATTGCTACTTCTCCTAGCCACACAAAGCAAAACAGCACTTCCTCCTCCCTGCCCCTTGGAAACTGGGCGATGCAGAAAAATCAAGGACAGAAAGAAGTAATGATTCATACAGTATTCATCCTTGCCAGTGAATGGGCATAGGGCTGTATCAGACCTTCCCTTTCACCTCTATCTGGCTACACTGAGTGTTGGGATGTAGCCTGCATCACAACACAGCTGAAACAACAAAGGAGATTCAGGATGAAGAAAATGCGTCTGCATCGTAGCTCATTTGGAGGTCCAAAGCTTAGCAGTGCAGGTATTTCCAGCCTGTAATTTAGGGCATAGTCGTAATTTCCCTCCCAGTGAGTAGCTCTAAATAGGTTAAGCCCAGTTGGAACTGCAGTCAAAAAGGTGGCCGAGTCATTTACAGGCAATCAGGATAACACAAACGTTGTTTGTTTGTTCTATGTCCCACCCCCTTCATCAGCTTCAAAATTTCACCCTAACTCCCTTCAGTTTATTTTCACTACTTTAGCACTGTTCCTGAGCCCCAACCAGTATTCTGCATCTTCAACATCTCAATTGCTTCACCAGTTATGTCTGTTGACTCAACCCAGTACAGCATGTGTTCTCTGTGACAGCTCGATGTTACTGATTTATTTTCAATTTATCTTTTGCTGTATGTTTCAGAGCTTATTCCATACCACTTTGCTTGCCTACACAGTATTCCCTAATCAATAGCCACATTCAGACATCTTGTTTTTCCCTCCTACAAGAATTATTTCACATTTCCCTTTACATAATTTTCTTTTACTGGCTTCTGCTCATTTTTCTGTGTGAAATATCATGCTGCATTAGCTTCAAGGATGCACAGAAGCTGTAAGTTCAAGATCCAACTCTCATTGACAGGTCTTAATATTCCTGAATTCTGCCCAGCTTCATTCATGTTAACAAAACCTCATGTAGCCTCTGTTGTAATCTTAAAGACTGATGAGTGATTTCAGAATGCAAATCTCTTCTGCTTTCAGAACAGATGTATCAAATTACGCACCCACACAAGTCACCCACAGGATAACCCCTAATACAAAGAGGACCAACCTTTCACAGATCAAGAAACTATGCAAAGAGATAAATTTCTCCCCACATATATTTCTTCCCAGCCTTCTTTTCAGCTTAGATGCCTTTGTAACCACCCTGTCAGGAAACCCCTCCTTCCCCATTTACAAGAGAGAAAAACAGTCAGGGAAGACTGCTTTCCCCAGGCTAAAATTATTCTCTGTGAATAAAGCCTGCCTGCATGAGCTTTCCAGACAGCTTAACTTTCAGAAAGGTCCAAACTCAATTAATAATACTACTGGTCCAGAAGACAAAGCTCATTCTTGAGGATGTAATGTTGGTACTTCCTGAAGATCATATATAAGGCAGCTTTGAAGCTAAAAAGCTTTTTAAGGTTTTCTCCTTTTAATGCTTTTTTAAATCTTTAACTCTCAATTTGAGAGAGCATGGATTCAAAATTATTTCTTCATCTGAGTAGTACGTGCTTGTCCCTGTCTGTGAAACATTTTTAGGGTGTTAGTTCCCAATCTTATATAGCAAATTAATGCACTGACATTTGCAGCAAACTGCAACCCCTCTGGCACAGCTGATGCTCTTTATTTAACAGCTGGTAGGGTGAGGCTGGTCTTACATCTGAGTCCTTTAGTGACAGCTCCTCTATGGGTGCCAGAAGGGTGCAACGCATTTTCCTGAATTCCCAAAAGCATAATTGCTAAACATACACTGTGGACAGACACCGGACATTATGGACAGTAAGTAAATACTGGTTTAAGGCTGAAATTCCCTTTAACACTTTAAAATAATATTCTCCTTTTTTGAGATCTGATCTAAGATTTTTGAAGTTCCATGGGCTGACAGAGCAGTCACAGAAAATTCAGATTATAATCTGCAAAGTCACTTCTCATCTGATCAGTTCGGCAAATTAAGAAACAAGACTCAATTCTGACAAATCGAGAAGCAAGTTCTGTCCTGATTTTTTACCTCTGAATCTGAGCTGTCAAGTTCAGCCAATGTGGGAGCTTTAAGGAGTCTCTTGCGTTGTACTGTGACTTGTGTGGTCCCATTCTGCTTTCCTTGTGGTGCCAGGCCACCGTTCACTACAGAGGCATCCACTACTTTTCTTCCAGCCTCTGGCGTTGGCACATCTAGCAAAAGAAACAGAATAATTGGTGTTTGGAACTAATATGTACTTTGCCTTCTCAAATCTTACTGTCAATGCAATACACACAAAAAGAAAAAAAAATCATTGTGATAGTTATATGTGTGCAATTATTCTACTTTCAGCAGTATGCTTCTCGGAGAACTACAGGCAATGGCTTGTGGTACAGAAGCAGTATGAAAGAATGAAAGCCATGGAAAAAGCAGCAGTGCATAACAGCATAACACTAAAACCCAACCTCAGAAGAACACCAGTCAACTTTAAAAAAATTGCTTGTGTTAAACCTGAAAATATTCTTCCTTCAATGTATAACCTATAATTAACTATATAACAAGTACCAGAAGAATGCACAACCATATCTGGGCAAGTGGGTTTCCAGTGAATCTGATGACAACACCATACAGAAATTAGGAGGTTTAGCATGGAGTAAACCCTGTTTTTCCTGTGAGGACAGAATTGCTCTTTATTCTGCAGTATACAGAAAAGGAATGAAAATGAGGTAAATAATAAGCATTCATCAAACACATGCACAACTCTTAGGCTTGCATGGCCATTTGTATTAAAAATATGTCTGTGATGTCAGACCTTCATGTAACAGCAGAAACATGAGGCTCCAGCTCTATTTTCATCTACATGAGTTTTACAAGGATGTAACTCCACGGAGTAAATTACTTGGGATTTCTGCCAGTGTGCAATGAAGATGCATCTCAGATAATGTAAGATTTGGGTCTGCTGTGCTTAGCCTAGCTTAGCTTAGACATTAAGATAATGACCTCGGCTTTGATATTTTAGAAGAGCTTAGAGTTTGGTCTGATAAATCAGTTTTATCCCTGTAAAAGTACAAAGTGTAGTATTCCAAGCTGAAGAAAATTATGTTGGAGGGACAAGGAAGAGAAGCTGTTAATCTCTCATTTGCATGTATGCCTAAGCATCTGGTCTTTCTACAAATGTGTTTTTCTACTTATGTAATTATAGGACTCCTTCCCCAGTCTTGTAATAACAAAGTACCTCTAGGTATTATTAGGGTAATGATGAGTTATTATTCCCATTTTTACACATGGTGAAAAGAGGCACAGAAGGTCAAGACTTGTACCTTAGGTTACTGGGAGGACTGTGACAGAGAAACTATATCATCCAGATATTCATAGTGCCAACAGTGTAAGTACTCACCATCATTTGGAGTTACTTACATGTTGTCCTGGTATAAACAGACACAGTCACTGCTGCTACAACACCATTTGAATTAATAAAGCCATCTGTGCACTAGGTAAATTAAAACTACAGTCTAGACAAAGCTCAGCTACAGTAGCAGGTCTGTTTTACAACATTCTCACCAGAGCAGCTATTGAAACAGAATAAGGAGAGGAATAAGTTAAATCAATATATATTTTAAAGAATTATTCAGGTTATTATTGTTAAATCCTGGAAACTGAGCTAGAAAGGACAGAGGATATATTATAGTTCCTCTATAAATCATACCTTCAACTGGGAGTACAAGAAAAGGCCATTATTTGGCCTATTAAAGTCATAGTGACATTCCAAGCCGATGAATCTGTGTACTACAGTGTCATTACTGCCTTCAGGTCCTCCCTACAAAGAGCTGCAATCAAAGACTTAGACTCTCTAACCCTTAGTTCCTATCTTCAAAGGCTTTGCTAATGGGTGTCCTGACTACCACTATGGCTTATAGGTCATGGAGTTTTTTTTCCTTCTAGATCTCTGTGAGTACAGCATGGGCGTCCTCCACATCAAATGCATTCCTGATCTAAGAGCTGCTCAACGCAATCCCAGAAAGGGACAGCAGGAAAATAAAACCCAAACTGCCTCCTCTCCCTGCTGCCAATGCCACTTCTTGAGACCTCATAATTAGCTGGCACGCAGTTGATTGAAGAAGCTCTGGGTTTCCCAAATGAGTAAGAAAAAGCCTCTGACTTGTCTTTCGATTGCACAGGGTGGTTCCTGAACAGACTGTCCAGGGAAGCAGCCCCAGCATCACCACCCAGAAGCCAAAGGTGGTGCCTCTTCTCCCCTAAACCTCCCGGGTCGTGACTCCCCTGCCTGATGGTAGGGTGGGTGAAGAATGGCCTGTAAGCACTCTTGGACTCACTGGAACAATAAATGATGGGAAGGCCAAAGCATGGCCCTCCTTCCAAAAAATAAAACACACAATAGGTCTGGGGAAAGGAAAGAGGGGGAAACATCCACCAGACATGCCCTAGCACTATGGCAGATGATGGAATGTGTTTTTACATCATAAATTCTTCTCTAGTAGTTTTCTGTTTGTTTGTTTTGGGTGTGAATTTTTTTCCTCTAAAAATTAGGCCCAATTTCTTTTAAGCCCCAGAAATGGAAATTTCTGGTTCATTTTGGAGGTAATTTATGTAGCCAATCACTATCTGTGAAGCCTAAACCAGTTGTGATTTGAAGTCGCACATGTATGAATTGTTCACACATATTTCTGAGTTGTTTATATGTTGGTTCGAGTTTTCTTCAAACACAAGAGAAGTTTTAGGTGAATCAAGAAGACAATCCAACATAGTATTTGTTTTCAAGGGCTCTTCAGTAGGATATAAAATTTAGCACCATACTTTCCTTAAAAAAAAAACAGGGAGTTTTTACCACTTGTAAGCACTAAAGAATAATTAAAAATAGAGTAAAATTAGAAAAGTATCCAATCTATAAAATCCATTTGGTCAATCAAATTCAGTTTCTCATTCTTGCACTTGCAGTACAGGATACATAAATGGAATAAATGGATTATCATAATTGAGGAAAAACATCATGAAATCTTAGTTTCAACAAACAGATTTCAAGAAAAATAACTTGTTCCATAAATAAAACCTGAATTTGTTAGCAGACACAGACCAAAAAATGACTACTCTGTTTAAGCTATTTTAGCGATGTACTCAGGCAACAGAAACATTACTAGGTAGCAAATAATTGTACATCATCATAAACAAAATAAAATTTATCAGGATAAACAAGGCAGAAAAAACAAATAGACTAATGTTTATAAAAATGAACGTGACAGAAGAAATCAATGGACAGTTCTTTGAAACAAAAACCTAAATTTATTTTTTTTCAATTGATAGGAGTTCACAATCTCTGGTTTCATAGATGTTTTGAAGATGATTCCAATGATATTAAAAAAAGGCTTGTGTCTGTAATGGCCCGGGGTTAAGAATTTATTAGAGCGTCAGACACACTGAGAGAGTGTCACTTCTCCATATTTTCAGTCAGCAAGTACAATGAACAGTACCTGCAAATTGGATGAATGTGTCTGCTTTCTTTTGAGTTTTTCTCTAAGCTATCATTACGACAGGCAAATCAAGAGAAGGTCTTGATTTGATTACTTGATCATTCTGTTGGGCTTTCCTGACTAGCCCTAAGACAGGGGAGACAAAAAACCCCCACCCTAGGATAATATGAAATGAACCTTTATTTACATGTAAGATTATGTCTCTTGCGAAACAAGGAATTAAGCAGACCACAAATTACATGCAAACCACAGCAGTCATGTAACCATATGCTGTCTGCCTCCTAACCAGCTCTCCTTGGCAAAGAGTAACAAGAGAAGCATGAATTTGCTCTAGACAGCAAATATACTGCTCAAGATTATAATTTTTTACACTGCATTTAAAAGAAGGCTAAAATGGATTTGCAGAATTAATATAGGTTTACTTTTTGCTAGTTAGGATCATGATATACTGGGTATTCTTATATAATGAATAAAGGTAACACAGATGTGCTGTTCCTTTCAGTGGACATAAGACATTGAAGTCAAACATGAGAACTACTAAATAAGTGTAACAAACTGCCAGCCCTTTGCTGGTGTTTTCATCATATTGTGTTATCTAAATTAAGAGTTTATCAGGAGGTGGTGGAGTCCTTCCTCACACTGGTCTGAGGCAGAGATGATCTAAAAGTAATAATTCCCATGAAATTTGGGGTTAAATGCTTCAGTTTCCTTTTTTTCTTCTCCCTGCACACCCCCCAATGTACAAACTATTTCTGAAATAACAACTTTGAAGCAGCCATGCATACAGCTTTGAGGTAAGAACTGGAGGGTTAAGAGTGGGAATGATTGATCTGCATTCAACACTGCATTGAAATTAAACTGCTTTTAAGGTGTTTTTCTATTACAGGAAGAAGGCAATGACTGTCTTGGTCTCAGTGACTGCCCTGGTCCCTACCTGATATCTGAGTACCTCTCAGATATCTCACTACAGGTTACTCCTTCTGTTCTACCAGTAGGAAACAGCCCTGTAAAAGGAGGTCCCAGGCACCCCCTCCTCTCCTCTTCATGAGAGCAGCAGCCAGATGCCTGGGGCCAGGCACTGTGACATACCAACTACACCAGCTCAGTGCCAGTAAAAGTCTTTTCAGCATTGGTCTGCATCGTTCCCATCGCAGATAGCATGCATAATATAAACCTGCACCTGTCCTTTAGCACTTAGTAGGAAACACTTCTGTTTTTCAGCTGGTTTGTGGGTTTTTTCATGACAGCAATTCCATCAAGCAGAGAGCAATGAAAGCAGTGAAAAGGCAAGTGTGTGGAAACAGTGATGAAAGCACAGTACAGCCTCTCTGCCTCCAAAATAATGAAAAAAGTAAAAGCACGCAAACCATTCAAAATTACTGCTTATCTGCTTACTATCAATATCCCAACCCATTTAATTTGCTTGTACTGCTCATCTGGTGTCTCACATCTGTCTAACTGGAATGTTTTAATCATCAGAATTTACTTCTAAGTACAATTTATCAGATCATTCAGTCACACCATACTTGCTGAGAACTACATGATTCGAAACAAAACCAATCACATTTGGGAGGTGGACAAAGAAACCAGGAAGAGTTCTTCAGTGGTCAGTCAAAAAGAGCAAATCAAAGTACAGTACAGATTGCTAAAGCTACTTCTTTAAAATAAAAACAGGATGGCGATGAATTAACAGATTATGAAGGGAGCTTTTACAAAACATTGTTGGG